GGCAGTCTTTATTCACTCTCTGGACCTGAAAATCAGGCTATGCAGAACTACATTAATGATTCCCTACAAGCAGGTATTATTAGACCTTCTGCGTCCCCTGCTGGGGCTGGTTTTTTCTTTGTGGGGAAGAAGGATGGCTCCCTTAGACCATGTATAGATTACTGTGGACTGAACAAGATCACAATTAAAAATATGTACCCTTTACCTCTTATGACTTCTGCTTTTGACCTTATTCAAGGGGCTACCATTTTCACTAAACTTGACCTAAGAAATGCATACCACCTGGTTCGCATCAGAGAAGGGGACGAATGGAAGACGGCTTTCAACACCCCCACCGGACATTATGAATATCTTGTCATGCCATTTGGACTTACTAATGCTCCCGCTGTTTTCCAGGCCTTGGTTAACGATGTGCTGAGACATGGTTAAGCAATTTGTTTTCGTATATCTAGATGACATCCTCATTTTCTCCAAGGACATCAACGCTCACAGAAGACATGTCAGATCTGTCCTGTTAAGACTATTGCAAAACAACTTATTTGTAAAAACTGAAAAATGTGAATTCCATCAACCCTCCACTCTTTTGGGCTTTGTCATCTCACCTAATAAAATAACTATGGATATAAACAAGGTTTCTGCAGTACTGGACTGGCCTACACCTAAAGACAGGAAGCAATTGCAGAGGTTCTTAGGTTTTGCCAATTTTTATAGAAAGTTCATCAAGAACTATAGTCTAATTTCTGCTCCACTTCACTCACTCACATCATCCAAGACAAAGTTTCTCTGGAACGAACAAGCCGAACTCTCCTTCACCACACTTAAGAGACTGTTTTCTTCTGCCCCTGTCCTACACTCTCCTGATCCTGACAAGCAATTTATTGTCGAAGTTGATGCATCTAGCATTGATGTTGGGGCAGTCCTCAGCCATTGTAGCACGGAGGGGGGAATTCATCCTTGTGCTTTCTTTTCCAGGAGCCTTACACCTGCTGAATGCAACTATGATGTGGGAGAACGAGAACTACTGGTTGTTAAATTGGCTCTAGAGGAGTGGAGACATTGGCTGGAGGGTGCCAAAGAACCATTTCAGGTCTGGACAGATCACAAAAATCTGTAGTACCTTAAGACAGCCAAAAGACTCAACCCGAGACAAGCCAGGTGGGCCCTCTTCTTTTGTCATTTCAACTTCTTATTATCATACAGACCCAGAGCCAAAAATACCAAGCCGGATGCCCTGTCTCGTATTTCAGAGGATAATAGGACTCACAAACCCAATGGAGATTTGGACTTCATTTTACCAGATGCAATGTGCCTGTCTATTACTCAATTGGAAGCAGAGATCAGACAGGATAATCTAACTCAACCACCTCCTCCCTACTGCCCCAAGGACCGTGTGTTTGTACCTCCTCATCAGGTTAAGAAAGTTTTAGACCTCTGTCATAGTTCACACATGTTTTTTCACCCTAGCATTACTAAGACCCTGAACTTGGTTAAAGCCCAGCTCTGGTGGAAGGACTTGGTTAAAGACGTAAAGGATTACATTACTTCCTGTCACCCGTGCAACCAGGCTAAGACCTCCAGATGCCCCCCTGCAGGTTTGCTACGACCCCTTCCATTCCTTCACATCCATGGTCACACTTAGCCATGGATTTCATCACAGGTCTCCCTCCTTCTGCTGGCAACACGGTCATTCTCACTATTGTGGACCGTTTCTCTAAGATGGTCCATCTAGTAACCCTCAAGAAACTTCCCTCAGCCAAGGAACTGGGGGAGCTTATGATTAAGGAAGTTTTTCGTTTGCATGGGCTGCCTGTGAACATCATTTCTGACCGGGGCCCACAATTCATCTCACGGTTCTGGAAGGAGTTTTGTAACCTTCTGGGTATTTCTGTTAGTCTTTCCTCAGGTTTTCACCCTCAAACCGATGGCCAGAGTGAAAGAGCTAACCAAGAGGTGGAGACTAAGCTTCGCCTCCTGTGCGAGGGGGACCCTAACAAGTGGAAGTGGGCTGCCAATCTACCCTGGGTAGAGCACACCATCAACTCCCTACCTTCCTCCACATCAGGTCTGTCCCCTTTTTACACTGTGTATGGTTTCCAACCCCCTCTGTTCTCTATTCAGGAGAAAGAGGCTCAGGTTCCATCTGCCCACAAAGCAGCATTAAGGTGCCAATGAACCTGGAGGAAGGCTAGAAGGGCTCTCATCAAGACCTCTGCGGTCTATATCAAAGGGGCCAACAGACGACAATCTCATAACCCTCCCTATCAGGTGGGCCAGAAGGTCTGGCTTTCCTCCAAGGACCTCCCGCTCCGAGTAGTCACGCAAGCTGGCACCTCGTTTTGTGGGAACCTTTCCCATTGCCAAGATAATCAACCCTGTGGCAGTTCGCCTCCAGCTACCTCGCTCTCTCAAGGTACATCCCACTTTCCATGTCTCACGCATTAAACCCCTACTTTCATCATGTTTCTGCTTATACCACTGACATTTATTAATGGTTGGCGAATGTGCATGGCTGAGGGGGCAGAAGATCAGAGCAGAAGAGCCATCACAGCACATTTAACGCTTCCCATCCTTCTGCCTGCATTGGAACCTGCTCTGTCATGTCGGATATTCTGTGATCTCACCTGTTGGGGTCGCAGCTGCGCACAGACGCGTGTCCATGCGTGTCCACTGAGTGCAGCGGCTGAATTTTATTTTATTTTTTTCATTTAGCCTTTATTTATACAGGTTAGTCTCATTGAGCCACGAGAACTCATTTTCAAGAGAGACCTGTTTAGGGAGCACATGGTGGGGGTTAAGGGCCTTGCTCATGGGCCCAGAGTGGGGCGAATGAGGGTGGGGGCCAGTGTGGGTGTTTTCACCTACCCCACCCACAATTTTTGATGTTGTCGGGGCCGGGGCGTGAACCGGCGATCTTCGGATCACAAGCCCACCTCTCTAACCTCTGCGCCACCACTCCCCCAAATGAACTCCTCCTTGAATGAATGTCCATTTGAGCTGATGGATCGCTGGAGGTGTCCATCTGAAGCTTAAATGAACTTTTTACCTCTTTCAACTGACTGATCAGCATGCGGTCAAATGGTCACGTGCAGCAGGTGCAATATGGCAAGCCATGTTTGCATTTATTGGATTGTTAGACGCACATGTTCCTGACCCAATAAAAAGCCTGACACCGAAATGGCCTACACATTAAGCACATCATTATAGCCTGGCCCGGTCTGAATCTGGGTCGGGCGGGGCCGGGCTCTGGGTTCCAGGTTCAGGTTAGAAATGACAGTTCTACCCACCAGGGAGAGACCCAGGACATGCTGCAGGGACTATGTTTCTCAGCTAGCCTGAGAACACTTAAAAATGAAGCCCATATTGTTCAAAAATAACCTGGAAACAGTAATACATGCATTCATTACATCTAGGCTTGATTACTACAATTCGCTCCTGTTTGGTATCAGTCAGACCTCCATTGCACGACTACAACTAGTCCAGAATGCAGCAGCCCGATTTTTAACCAGTACAGGCAAAAGAGAGCACATTACACCAGTTTTTGGCCTCACTGCACTGGTTACCGGTTCACTTTCGAATCCAGTTCAAAATACTCATGTATGTCTACAAATCACTGAACAGTGTCACCCCCCCCACACACACACACACACCCTAGCTCTCTGATTTGCTACAACCATATGTCCCACCACGCTCCCTGAGGTCAGCGGACCAGTTGCTCCTCACAGTTCCAGGAACTCATCTTAAGCGCAGAGGTGACAGGGCCTTCTCTGTAGCAGGACCAAGACTCTGGAACGAGTTACCTCTGCTAGTCAGACAGGCCCCCTCCCTCTCGGTTTTCAAGTCCCATTTTAAAAAACTCACTACTATTCAATAGCTTTCAACACAAGATGATCTGTGTTTTGATCCTGTATGCTCCACACTGGTTTGTCGTCATTATCTGCATCGTTTTTTGTCTATATTCTGATTTACCTCATTTTGTATTTTGCTTTGTGTGTTACCTGTTGTTTTGTCTGTACAGCACTTTGGTTGGCCTTGTAGCTGTTTTAAGTGCTTTATAAATAAAGTGGTATGGTATGGTATGGTATGGTAACACTTCGGGATTACCCCAAAGGAGCTGGCCCAAGTGATTGGGGAGAGGGAAGCCTGGGCCTCCCTACTTAAGCTGCAATGCCAGTAACCCAACCACGAATAAGCGGAAGAAAATGGATGGATGGAGCAAATTGGATGATACATGTGTAATTTAGAGCCAACCATATGCAAAAGGCGGAGGATTGGAATTTGTCATTCAGCCATGCCCACATGCTCCAGCCATCAGTCAGTTTTGAGAGAAGGATTTGGCCTCATGTTTTACTATGTCATTAAACACAGATTTAAATCTGTATGAATTGTAGAGTAAAAGGAAGAGAATCAGCAAGAAAACAGGTGACTTCCTGTTCAAAGGGGCAGGGGCAAAGGCAATGTCACATCTCACCATGTGAATGTGATGAGTGCTGGTCTGTTACGACACACAAAAAGTCTCAAGCAGCTATGACCTTGTATATTGATGTTATTCAACCCTGATGTTTTAGGGTGAATTGTCAGATTTAGAAGTTTGGCCACGCCCACATGCACCAATGTATAAGAAAGATTTTGATAAATTTTGATTTTCGATGCCTCAAGACTGTGCTCAGTGATTCTGAAGTCTGAATGTCAGTTTGATCAAATGCGGAGGCTGTAAACAGCCAAAATGGGGTCAAATTCGGAACTTCAATCCAAGATGGCTGACTTCCTGTAGTGTTTGGACCATGGCTCCAATAAACGTTTTTGTAGGTCCTGACAAGATACACATATGTACCAGATTTCATG